CTGCCTGCCTGCCAACCCTCCTCCTTGCTCCACCTTCCTTGGTCCCGCCTCGGTCACCAGCAGCGGGTGGTGGGAGGCACAGCACGAGACAGTGGTCCAGCAGCTGTAGTCGCCTGTCTCTTAGGGGGAAAGCAAAGGGGGGAACGGGGGTGGGGAGAAAGAAAAAGTTTCGCAATGGGAGGATAGGAGAGAGATGGAGGATGAAACTGGAGGACTGGGGATGGGGGAGACAATAAAACAAGAGAGGGGATGTAAAAGGAAATAAAATATAACACGTCAAGGGAAAAAGGCGGGGGGAGGAACTCCGTTTCCAGCCTTTCATCCTCCAGATGGTGGTGCCAGCAGTGCCAGGCTCCAAGAGACTCCGACAATTTTGGCAGAACTATTGGAAAAGCACTAGGGAAGAGGCTGCCTGTCCACCTCTTTTTAATTAGGATTCTTTCCACTAGATAAAAATCAAAAGGAGTGGGGGGGGGCTTCCCCCCACCCTACCGGTTTAAATCCCAGATGAGTTTAGCCACTCCATGCAACTGGCACAGTGAACTGCAGCTCACGAAAGCAGATGCCTTTTAAAAAATGTGTTAGTCTGAAGAGGTGCTATCAGACTCCTGACTTTGGGCTACTCTAGAGTAACTCAGTTGCTCTACTCTGCAGAAAAAGTTACGCTATTCTCAGTTTCCACTAGAGAGTGAAACAGTAGCTCCATCTCCTGATGGATAAAGGAAGTTCAAACCCACTTTGAATGCAGCTCCAAAGGGGGGGTCGGGGATGGCGAGAGTGACTTAAGAAGCTGGATTCTTTCTCTTCTCGTCTCCTGATCGGAAGCCACAGCAGAAAGACCGACCACCAGAAACAAAAGAAAACTCTTCTTTTGAACTGGGTATGGAATTAAACCAGCTTCTGGGTTTGTGTCTTGAATCATCAACCACCCGAAGGGTCTCTACTGGCACCATAGTCTAAACCACGAGAAAACCACCCAAGTTCAAATGAACCAAACGTTGCCCGCGGTGGCCACACTGTCCCCATGCCTTGCATTGGCTTGCTTGAGCCGGCAGCGCAAGGACACCCCACGTGGAGTGATTACCTTAATGGGCTCCTTAGCAAGCTGGGGGCCCTGGAGCTGAGTTGGGTGACCAGACCAGTCTTTCCCAGCCAGCACGGGAGCTGCCATCCAAGGCATCTGGAAGGCACAAGGTTGGGAAATGCTTGGTTAAGACTGTCGCTGTGCAGGGGCAGACAGAAGCGCACCCGCTAAGAAGGCTGGCAGCCGGGGCTGAATTCTGTCTGCGCCTGGCACAGCTGGTAGCCACTGAAACGCATCCTCTGAAACGCATCAACGCATCCTGAGAGAAAGAGAAACCAGTTGGGGGAAACCCTGCAATTCCAGCTGCTGCTCTCCTGGGGGGCCCAGAGACTAGTTTACGCTGTCAGTCAAGGCGGCTGGGTGCTTTTAAGTTTCGCCTCCGGCTGCAACGCGGCTGCTTTGAAGTGGAGAGGAGGAGGATGCGACAGAAAGGTGCCTTTGTCCCGATCCAGAACGGCGCACACCAGGGCTGTCATTAACTGTGATCTGTGCTGGTTGCACTTTCTTAACTGCTGTGTTCTCCTATTACACTACAGCATTTATTTAAAGACGCACAATGAAGACGTGCTATAGATTGACTTTCCCCAACCCAGCACACTCCAGACCTTGTTAGGGAACAGCAGAGGAGTAACTAAACTCCTGTAAGGAGTTTTTAAATCAGTCAATCACTTATCAAAGTTGTTCCAAAAACCATTTGGTGGGTAAAGCACTTTGGACATCATGGGCCAATAACCCCACCTTATTTATTTGAACGATTTATATGCCCATCTGTCTTGCTTCTGCAGCTCTGGGCAACTAACAAATTAAAACTCTAACAATACCTGCCCCCCCCCATTTTTCAAAAATAAAACCCTGTAAGAGGGTTAATACAAAACAAACTTCCATCTAACCACGGTACAAGCAGGCTCACCTGATATCCCAGCCAATGTCTGAAAACAGCCAACTTTTACAAACTTTTTGGAACATCATGTGGGGCCATCTGAAACTCGGGGGGGGGGAATGGTGCTCTATAGAGCAGGTGCTGCCTTATTTAATAATGCAGAGGTAGAGTAAAAATAAAATAAAAATAAAATGGCAGCGGTTAAAACATTTCCCTGCTCTCAATCCCAGCTGGTGTTTACATCTCCTTCTTTTCAGCTTCAAGACCCCAAGAAGCTGAATTGTAGAAGGAAATGTCCTGGAAGGCTTCAGGCTATTGGAGGCAGCAAGAATGGAACTGCATGCAGAATTCAGGTTTTTAAGAATCTGAGTTTTGACTTAAGTTTCTAAATCTTGCGATAATGAGGAAAGGATTTTAAGTGTGTCTGTCAGCAACGCTCGGTAGAACGAGGTGTAAAACCCTTTGAAGAGTGAGATCTGAGAGTTGGATTGATGTGCCCAGGTTTGGCTTAGCATGTTGTGTGAATCCAAGCTTCTGCAAAGGATTCAATAAATCAACAGCTTCTCTCAGCTGTCAGAACTCCTGGTGGTTCTTCTCTTGCAGTAAGGCGTGTGTGTGTATGTGGGCTTGTGTGTGATTCAGGGCAGGGTTGCTGAATGAAGCGAGAGTCAAAAGACTAAGTTCTCATATTAGCAATCTCAAGTGCAACTTTAAATGTCAAACACAACCTCAGTCCTCAGCTCAATGAGGAGGGTTAATTTCATTAAGAAAGTTGTGATAAAAGAAAAAAAAATGCCTTTATGCGTTTTTTCCCCAGTAACCTTTATTAGCAAATTAAGTACCCTTATAATTGTTTTCCACAAAACCAATTTCTGTGAATACTGGTCAGTAAAAGACAGGTGTGGCTTTGGCTTCACCCTCCCTAACACATTTCACTTGGACCAAACGGTGCTCCACCACGTACACACAAAAACAACCCAGAGTCCTAACTCAGTTTCTCAGATGCTTGAATTCCTCCAAACAGACCACACAACATCTTGGTGGGCCCAGATTTTTTTCTGAGGGGGGAGGAAATCCAACCCTGCCAAACTACCTTGCTAAGGTTCCAAGAGTGGATAATCCCACCGGAGGCAAGTTAGGTCAAGTCCCAAATGAGGCCATCTTGGAAACCGCCCTGTAAATGCCGTTATTAGACCTGATGGTTGTCTCTTCAATGCCCACCTGCTGAAGTTCTGGGTGTTCTGTCCCCAGTAGTGGCGGGGGGGGGGGGGGGGGGGG